CCCCAAAACCCCAAAACCCCACCTGAAAATATTAGAAGAAATCAGAAAAATAAATGCATTAAAATAGGTGAATAATAAATCAGTAAAGAATTATAAAAATATGATGAAAAGTTTAAGTTAAAAGTTTCTTGCATTCATATTATTGTTCTTATCTGTTAGAGCTCAAATTACATGCCTAGAAAAGAAATTTCCCTGGGTAATCGGTGGAACTCAAGATGAAACTTTAATATCGATTGACTAAGATGGTGAGGGATACTTGTATATGTGTGGATTAACAAATTCTAAAAGTGATTTGCTTCAGAGTAAAAGAGTAAATAATCAAGCATTATTTTTGCAATCAATTCACTTCAATGGCTATCCTCGATGGGGTAAATATCTTGAATCTATAGATTAGACAGGATAAACATCACTTAAAGATGTTTCGTGGCTTTATGCTTGCAAACTTTCACAGGACCTCTCTACCTTATTTGTTAGTGGCAGTATAAACTTTGAGTATGCCTTTTATGCATCCTTTAACACTTCTTCTGGTGATTTATTAAAATTATTCGTTCCTAATACAACATATGCATTAGGTATAACCTACTCTGCATTTCATGCTGAGAACAACAGGACCTTTGTTTCAATCATATCCAAAGATCAGTTTTAGCCTTGGATCGTATTCAGATATGATATGGGAGAGTAAAAAGTTGTTTGGTAATATTCAATTGAATAATATAGAAGCGTCCCTGTGATTAATGATCTAATTATTTTCAAAAGTGAAGTTGTAATAATTGGTGTATAAAGATTATTTAGAGTAGGTTTATTCTCCCTGAATTATGGTAATGGAACGGTAAACCGTACTACTTAGAACGAAAACTTAACAATAATCAATAAAATATTGACTGACGAACTTAAAAATGAAACCTATATTTAAGGTATCTCAAATTCTAGCTAAAATATAATTATAAAACTAAATGTTAGGAGTTTGAGCTTGATTTAGCAAACAGACATAAGATATGGAAGTACAGAAAACTACATATTTGAAACAACATTATGGTACTAAAATGAAAAAACCAAAGATGTACTTGGTCTTATAATGCTAATGAATATCGAAAGCACTGGGGAGACTGCAATTATAAGAATATATTCAGATTTAGTAACTCTGGCTACATCCTATAAATATAATGGATTGCCTAATAATCTAAATGGGAATGGTCTAATCTATAATTCAAATTTCAATAACTTATATATGAGTGGCTGGAGCAACAGTATTGAAGAATCTTCTTAGTTTTAAGGTTACATATTACGAATGCCCTTGGATCCTACTATAACTTCAGATTAAACTAAAAGATTAATGTGCATTCAGAGATAAAATTTAAATGGGCTAACTTTTGTGACTAGAATTTAATCTCAAGGTTTGTTCAACAATATTTCTCCTAGTATCACTTTGATTTCAAATCTTTCATTTCTTGATTATACTAACTGAACAAAAATGTAAGATATTAAATAGAATTGGAATCAAACAAAACAACTTTGTAGTACTTAAAATTTGATTAATAATTCTACCTTTCCAAAGTACTTTCTGGGCTAGTAAACTTAATTGGTTGATCTAGCTTAGATAGCTGATCTTAAAGAGAGTTAAAATCTTACTAATATCATTGGCGGTAAAGCCCCCATGAATATTTCAGTCAATTATACTGAGAAACGGGTTAGTTATTTCTATTCATTTGGTTAGTCTGATCCCAAGTCATATTAATTTATGATTGAGGGATGCACTATTGATGATTAACCTAAGTAGGTTCAGTATGAAATAAAAACACTTTACAATTCAAAGCCTTACTTCAAATATACTCCTCTGAACTACAGCATAAAATACTACTAAAATTTTACTTTTAGACTTCCTGAATTCACAGATGATGAAATGAACTCACCAATATAATTAGACATAACATTAAATAGCTAATCCCTGGATGCTTACAGTGATTTTATTACATTTGATTTAAATAGTAGAGTTTTGACCATCTATGCGAATTGGTCTGAATCAAGAGTCTAAAACTATACCTTCAATCTATAACTTATAGAAACTTAATCAGTTGATGTGATTTCTTATTATACTTTCTGGGTAGATATTAGTAAACCTGATTCTGCCAATGATTCGAATTTGTTAGCAGGTCCCTTCAAATTTAAAATACAAAATTTATTTTCGAATAAGACAATATAAATAATGATGAATCATGGACTGAAAGAAGCCTCCTAGGAATACTTTAATAATATATGGGCATAAAATGTAATTACTATGACATTTTTAAATGAAGCACTCGTTTATGAATATAAAACATCGAATGTTACAGAATTCGAGAGTTTTATCAATTTCTAGATTTTGATACCTAAGAGTCTAGAAAATTCCTACTATCCTGTAACTAATTTCCAAATTTCATAATTATAGTTTAGAGAAATTTTAAGGGTAAAAGTCAACATGCCTTCATATTTTTTCTCCAATATATCCTACTCATAACTTTCAAATGATTATCAAGAGATATTAGTCCCTCTCTTTGATTAAGATGAATCAGCTGATGCAAATGCTCTTAGAATAATACCGATTGTATTTTAAAGTATTACAATGACACTCTGCATTATATTACTTGCTCTAAATCTAGTTAGGTATACTTTATTTTTTATTGCAACTAATTATATAGTGAGCCTAAAACAAGTTCAGCATTTTTAATGATATATTCATTGCAAAATATCATTGTATCAACTTTCTATTGGATAGATATAAGTCCATATTTCGTTAATTTTACCAAAGAAATATTATGATTCTCATACCTCGGTGTTCTATAAAATCTCATAAATTATTTGATTGAGAATGAATCTGTCATATTTTATTCGAGTAATCTTTAGGCTTTTGACATACCATCTGATTTAAGAAAAATCATTTTAAGCCCAATTATATACATTCTTATAGCTATCTTTACACTTATGCTATATTCTACCATTTTCGGAATAGTGAAACTTGAGAATAGATAAAAAACAAGCTATATAATGAGGTTGTTAAAGATTTCTTAGGCTCCATTATTTTTGTATAGTTTAATTATAATACTTCATTCTAAGAAATTCGGCGAGACCGATTTCGGAGAAATTATACTATCGTGGCTTTTGATAATATTGATTTCAATACTTAATGGCGTTTTTATTGTGCTATTAATCATAGATTACCTATGATTTAAAACTCATTAGAATTAAACTGAAAAACAATAAATTAAAAATTAGACAGCAACAGGTGAAAGAGAATTTAAAAATATTACACCAGCTACCCTATATCAAGACACTAAAAATGATAATTTACTAAGTCGAATGTTTCATCAATCTCAGAGTATCAGAGTTTTAATAAGCGTTGCGTTAGTAAGTGCATCTGAAGAAAACTTTGTTGCTTAAATAATAATCCCCTTGATTCTTGATTTTACTGTAATTTAATCTTAATGTTATTCTATATAGTTCTTACTCATTTCAAGCAAGGTCTAGCCATTCACGCATAAATACTTAAATATTCAACAAGCATTTCTAGAAATATTCACATTAATAGCACACATCAGTGTGATCCCCTTATTCACAAGTAATTTTTAAAATAAGATTCTGTTCAAGCAAGCCTCTAGCTATCTTTTCATTACTTGCTGTCTAATGATTATATTATTTTCTATGATTCCTGTAAATTTAAAATTTGCCTTACTTTTAATTTAGATAAGCATCGAGATCGTCACATCATTTAAAAAAGCTCAATGGAAAAGATTACATACAAGAATTGATTTAGTATCTTCATCTAGAGATCTTTTAACAGATAAAGATAACTTTGATGATATATCATAAAATGATACTCCAATCGATGTAAAGAACTCTTCAAAATTAAGAAAGCCGATTATTGAATCTTTTGAGAATCATGCTAGTCAGAACTGTAAGGATAATGAGCAGTATGGAATATTGGTTGATCAAGAATCTTCAATAAGAGCTAAAGATAGTAGGTCAATGAATGAAAGCTAGTAGGTTCTGAGGAAACAAGACAGTTTCAACTCTTTTAATCATCTGAAAACTAAAGTCTAAGAGGAAAATGAGGAATCAAGCAGAAATATAAATAACATGCAATATGACTCCTCCAAAATCATAGAAAGCTAGTCTTCAATAAAGAATAAAAAAGGGAGTATTAGAATAGGTACATAGGGAGATGAAAAACTAAAAGATTAATACACTTTGCCTCCTATTGTGAATGAAAAGAATAAGAGGATGGCATAGGAATCATTTCACGAGGTAGATGAAAGTCTTGACTTAAGATTAACAAAAAGAATTAGTGCTAAGAGAAAACTTAGAAAAATTTCAAAAGGTTCCAAAGATTAAGTAATTAGTAGTGGTTCTTCATAGGATCTGCCTCTCACTGCTTTAAACACAACCTTAGTAAAATAAAAAACTAGAAACGAAGATAAAAGCCTTGATAAGATTGATAATAATAAATCCAATTAATCATCTTTTCAACCTCCTGATTCGGCTAAGATGAATGAAGAAATTCTAAAGAAAGTTGATTTTTATAACGAGAGGCTAATGGATGATTAGAGACACTAAGTATCAGAAAATGAAGAGCATGCTCAAAGACTTTGAGCTTCTATATGATATAATTTTATATTGAATTTAACCTTAATTTCTTAAAGAAATTGTGAACATATTCAAACGGGGTTTTGGGGTTTTGGGGTTTTGGGG